TTTATTTGGTCGCCGGATCTGTTAACCTGGTGTCTTTGTAAATGAAGCGGAATGATTGGGCACTCTCCTATCAAACCAGTTAAGAATTTTGATTGTATATGGATCAGATACACTGAGGATGGCTCGAATGTAAGCCGAAACGTCTAATTTTTTTCTTATATTTAATAAATAATTTGCTCGCACGACTTACAGCGAAAAAACTCTCATTAGCCTGTTCTCTGTTTATATTTTGATATTCTCGAGAGTTTATTTGTATTTCTTATATTAAAATATTTTATTGCTATTAAAAATGCCTCAACTAAATAGTTTTACCGAAGGCACTAAATCTTTTACCTAGTATAATAACAACTTACCTAATGTATCGACAATCAAATCCATTTGTCCATTGTACACAAATACTTTCAAGTCGGTTTCATTCAGTAACGCTTCCACTAAAATAATTACATTTACATTTATATTAGTATTTAGAATATATTATAAATTCTACGCGCGAATTAATAATTTTTTGCGTCATAAATAAATTTGATTTAAAGCGAATGTATTAGAATGCATCGCAGCAGTCAATTAATTTATATATTTATGCAATATATAGATAAATATTGTTTTATTTTACATGTTTATCAAAACTGCTTCAACAATTTCTTTTATGCTTACGAGTTGCCCAATTTTTACATTCGCTATGCTTGGAAATAACTATCTCCATCAATCAACATCAATTTCTTCCTTTCGCTTTCGCTACAATGACATTCTGTCAATACACTTGACAGATACCTATGTGAGTAACAGGTTTCATAAAATCTTCTGCTAAGTATTCAAAAACGTCAGAGGATTGACTGCCGTGAACGAATTTGATATCAAGCGCTTTCTTTACTGGACCGTTCATCAAATTTTCGAGTGAGAAAGCTTCATCTGCACTGAGATTTAGGTACATTACTGCAATTACAAAGGAAAAAATGCACAGTGACACATAATAATAATGACATTCCGATAAAAGGAATCTTGTAACATGTTGAATGTTTTTTATATTAATATTAAAAATAGAATAAAAGTTTCGTTATTTAATGTGTGTATGTGTGTGTGTGTGTAAGTTTATAAAATAATATAATGATATTATTTACCAGGTTTATTTTTAAGTAAGAAAAATTTTTGATAATTGAAAAACCGTAACGGAGGCTGCTTTGTAAGAATATTGTAAAAGTCAATATTGTCAGTCTTCTCTAAAATGACCATTTCTGTATTAGACCATTCTTGAGTTGCACTTCTCCAATTGCCAAGCTCGACATTGTTCTTTACTTTTTGTGCTGCAGCATCAATTTCTTTGAAACCTTTTGTGTCCACCATACCCTGCGAATTATACGATAATTTTCGAAAAGTTTTATATAAAAGGACCCCGCACAAAATCATAGGATTTTGGCCCTTGGTTAAATTGGCTGAAATTTTAGTATGTTATAGTTCTTGACCCACTGATCAAAAGTGTCCATAGGCACAAAGCTTGATCATGACTAGTTTTTTTGTTATAGCCGTTTAAAGTTTTATTTTGTTAATGCCTCAAAAAAGCAAGTTTCTGTAATAAATCGAGAGATTTTAGATAACAATATGCTAACCACTCTCACCACCCCCACCCTCACTCCCACCCCTACCCCTATTCCCACACACATATGTCCGCGCGTGCATTTTTATATTATAAAGGTGCATAAAA